GGAAAGAGTAAGATCATCACAGGAAGGGGATTAAAGCAGTAAGAAAAAAAATGACAGCCATAGAAGATAGGTAAAGTCATCCAACATATAGACAGAAAAAGAATGCAAAAATATGACTTAGGAATATGTTTCTGAAAGGAAGAACAGAGTTTTTGGTCAGAAGTAAATTCCACATACCTAGAAATGCATTCATAGAATGGCAAAGATATACCCTGATCTGTAGCTTCAATACTCTAGAACTCTGACAGAAAAACTAGTTACATACAATGTTAGGACAACCAAATTGCTATCTGAATTCTCCACATCATTATCTGACATAAATTGTTAGCAAAGTCTGCAAACTTCTACGGTGGTATCTGAATTCTCCACAACAACATTATCTGACATAATTTTAGCTAAGTCTACAAACTTGTAAGGGAAATAAAATTATTTATATGATATAAAATTATATTCATAAAAGCTAATAAAAGCTAATTTTAAAATAATGTAAAATATAAAATAATATAGATTTGTTTTTCTAACTATCAAGTTATTATTCTAGTGAAGGCAATAAGCAGATGATCTTGACCTAAAAGAACTCAGAGAACATTACAACCATGAGCAATTTCTGAAAAACAAAACACCCTGTGATGAAATTAGCCTAAATGACTCAAATCAAGATGACAGAAAAGCTATGGCTGGAAAACAGTAATGACAATAAAATACTGGTGAACATCCCAACCATTATAATGTAGTCTTAAGATTAAATAGTTGCGGGAACCAGCAGTTAGCATAATGGCTATGTCGCTGGACTCCCACGTAGTCGACCGTGGTTCGCGTCCCGGACCCGGTGGCTTAAAAACTCACGCCGGGCACATGTGCGTGCGTGCCCAAGATCCCGAGAGGAGAATGGAGGAGAAGGGATTGCAGCATGACCATCCCCCCTAGGGGTGATTTCTCGCTTTCTGTCTCTATGTCTCTCTCTGTCTGTCTGGCAAACGCACACGACCTATAGCATAAAAAACCTCTCCCAAAAAAGAAAAAAAAGATTAAATAGTTGCTGGGCCAACAGGTGTTGGGGTGGTTAAAGCCCTGGGCTCCCACATAGCTGACCACGATTCAAGTCCTGGACCTGGCAACTTGCTGTCTCACTTTCCCTTTTTTTTTTTCTCTTTCTCTATGGTCAAAATTAAAAATAAAATGAAATAAATAAAATTTTTAAGAGATTAAACGATTGTGTCTTGGATTATTATTATATAAATGTATAAATATTAGGTCCTTGACCAAATAAAAATGATAAACAACAAAAATTAAGAGATGTGAGTAAAGAGATAGGGAATGTGAAGTGTTAGTTATAGAGTATTAATATAAAAACATGTAGTCAATCTCATAAGTTTTTGTAATTTTTTTCTCTGCACTAAATTTGTGTGTGTGTGTGTGTATTTAGCTGCAGGTCAGAATGCCATTTATTTTCACTTCTGCTGCTTTTTCTTCTGTCAAATTCAAACAAAATGAAATAACTCATACTAGAAAATAGTCTTTATACTTTCATTTTAAATGAAATCAATGCCATCTACTATCCTTCTAACTGTGCATGTCCATAAGGAACTGCCCAGAATGATGTTCACCAACCTTGAACACAACAGTGGAATATTGGATAATTTGTTTTCTTCTTCACACTTTTAAATTTTCTTTTTTTAATTCATTTTTGCTTTAGGGCACATGCACTCCTAGAGAAGTAAAGCAGAGAGAGAAGTAAAGGGAGAAATCACCCCCAATAGAGATGGCCATGCTTCAATCCCTTCTCCTCCATTCTCCTCTCAGGATTTTGGGCATGCACACACACACACACACACACACACACACACACACCTGGCATGTTTCACGCCTCTGGGTTGAGACTAGAACTGCATTCATTACGTGGGAGTCCAGCACATTAGCCACTATGCCACCTGCTGGCCCCAATGCCAGAGACATATATAACTACTCAGTGTCACACTTCTTAACAGACTGGCCTCAGGCAGAGTGGAATCTAGTTCAGAAATGCAAGCTTAGTGGGGCTAGCAGGTGGCGTGGTGGTTAAGGGTCATTTATTTGTAATAATAGATAAAGTTAAATAAAATTATTTTTTAAAAAGAAGAAATGCAAGCTTGGGCTGTCTTATTGCCCCTTTGCAGCACACAGTTTCTCTTTCTCTTCTGGGCTCTGGCAGGATATTAATTCTGGTCTTGTGACCCATTGGCTAACAGTGAACCCCGCTCTCCTCGCTTCCTTCTACCTATGGCTTCTATAGTTTACTTTTTTTGCATCATGCCTTTTGGTTTGGGCTTCTATTAGCAACTGCACCTTTTCTTGGTAATGTTTCAGGCTTAAGCTCATCAGGAAAAAGTAGCTGTTGGGTTTAGCCTTTAACCATTGAGCTCCACCACTTCTTGCAGGGAGGAGCATTCCTAGCCCTGGATCAAGCCCCTCTGGCCAATTCCACATGAAACCGGGGCCCCCGCAATCACCTGAAAGTCCCCCCATAACTTCTTGCTTGACTTCTGATAAAAGAGATGGGAATGAGGGGCCAGCAGATGGTATAATGGCTACATCACTAGACTCCCACATGGTTGACTATGGTTTAAGTCTTGAACCCAGTGGCTTGTGTGTATGTGTGTGTGTGTGTGTGTGGTGTGTGTGTGTGTGTGCCCGAGATCCCAGGATGAGAATGAAGAAGAAGGGATTGAGGTGTGGCCATCCCCCGTGGGTCTGATTTCTCACTTTCCCTCTTACTATCTCTCTCTCCAGTGAGCATGTGCGTCCTAACCTAAGGCAAAAACCTCTAAAAGAGGAAGAGAGAGAGAGAGGTGAAAAAACCTGACATAAAACAGTATGTACAAAGCAATTCTAAATGTCTATTTTTTATATAAAAGAAAGTGTTCTAGTTCTTTCTATTTTCTTGTTGTCAAACTTTCTATAGTATACGTTTTCAAAGATACTAAATGACCTTTCTTAAGCCCTGCAACATGGCATGATACTGAGCAGGCCCAAGAAGCCCAGGAGTCATTGTACCTGCCATTTGGAAGGATGGCCTCATGTTCCCCACACTTCTCATCTCAGCCTCGGCTATGTGTTTGCTTGCTTCACCCTTGTATCTTTTTCTTCATCAGGTGACGAGATGACTGGGATCCCCTCGCACATCCTCAACAGCTCCCCATCAGACCGGCAGATCAACCAGCTGGCCCAGAGGCTGGGCCCTGAATGGGAGCCTGTGGTGCTGTCCCTGGGGCTGTCCCAGACGGATATCTACCGTTGTAAGGCCAACCATCCCCACAATGTGCAGTCGCAGGTGGTAGAGGCCTTTGTGCGCTGGCGGCAGCGCTTTGGGCAGCAGGCCACCTTCCGGAGCCTGCAGAGAGGCCTGCAGGCCATGGAGGTGGACCCCTCCGTGCTGCAGCACATGCTGGAGTAATGGGCCCAGCAGCCCTCTGCTGCATGTGTGAGTCCTGACTGTCGCTCAGAGCAGGTGGTGTTTTGTTTTGTCTTGTGAATGATCCGTAGACAGAGAAAACACGGTTTCCACTTGCTGGAAAGGATGCATTACTCAATAGATTGCACATCAGCTCAGCAAGTGGTTGTTTTTAATTACTTGACAATTGCGTTGTTGTAATGGTACTGTTTTTAATTGTGTGGTTGCCTTTTAATTGACTGGTGAATCATAGTTGTTCCAAAAAAGAAAAAGTTGTCACATTATATTCTGGTAATTCTAGTATCCTATATATAAAACATCTACTTCGTGTTGCCTGGAAACTGTGGACTTTCCTATTCATAAAGATGATGATAATAAAAAGTGAATTCCTATATAATGTGCCCCTTTCGAGAGAGTATTGTGTGTTTTTTTTCTCTTTTTCTCATTCTTTTATTGCATAGATTAAAGGTATAAAATTATAGGAGTCAGTTCTCTGGAACAGAATTGATAGTAGCACTGAAATATCATTCTCCCCAGTCAAGATAAATAGCTCAGGCAGGATGTCTTTATTAAATGTAAGACACTAAAGCTCTGTGCAAAGACAGGTTCAAGTACCAGCACGCATACCCAAACCCTTCATCTTTCAGAGATTGCTTAAGGAAATCCTATGCCGTTTATTTAAAGGATTTAGTCGGGGACAAAGGAGGTGTGGCCTTTCCGTTGAAGCCTTAATGGTTGAAGTGGGATGCTCTTTAAAGAGTGCAATTTGGTCTTCTGACTTTTTATCAAAAGCACGTGGTATTTATAAAATGCATTTCCGTTTTCAAGGCTTTTCATATATGTGATCTCATTCGGACCTCTCAGGAATCCCGGGAGGTGTGTGGGGAAGAGC